AACTCAAACGGCCTATGTCATGCAAAATCATCTTTTTCATTATTTCAACTAAGTTATTATGCTTTTTCTTAATAAAAATCGTCCAAAAAGTGGTATTGCGTTTGATTAACGAATTCTGCACTCTGAGCAAGAGCTAAATTTTTAGTCATGAAAATCTGTTTTCTGGCATTCAGAGAAGTCTAAATTAGGTCAGACTTCAGTAGAGGTGTTCTATAGCAACTTCCTGAAATGGTTGGAACAAGAAATGACAAGAAAAGGCCGGTTTGTTAGAAGTCCAGTGTTTGTCTTCAGGATTGGAAGAAATTAAGCAGTATTTCATCACAAATTAATTCTCTGCAGCAGTAAAGGCATTATTTCAATATGTATATGACTATAGTTTACTTTAAAAGGCTTAAAAAAGCAGGATATATGACCTGTAATGTTATCAATATATGAAGAAACAGATGTATAGATTCTTAATGTTTGGGCTTTGCTTCCACTGCCACATCAAAAACGTAAATGCTTGCCTTATTACCAACTATCCTTTCACACCAATTTTCCTTTTAGATATTCTTTAATGTTCCAAAACTGATTCGTAACACAATGTAATCTCTGGTCCTTCAATGCTTTAATAAACTTCTCAATCTGTACTGCATCCACTTTTCTGATTGACAAAGAAATGGAATGTTTAAAAGCAATATGAATTTATTTAAACTGAATTAAATAAACTGGAAACACATAGGGCGTTGCTGATGAGGTGGGGAAAACTGCTGTCAACAAGCATTTGGGGATGGTTCACCCCAGCAACAACCCCAGTTTTAATGCACTTTGGCTTTTCCACCCAGGCACACTTATCGACACATTACATAATCACAATCACATACACACACTATTAAGAGTGTCATGAGGTGGGAAGCTAGGTCTTGTGGGCATTAGGGAAGGAACATGCAGTGCTGCAATAATATTGAATTTAATAAAGTTAACCATGCAATTAAACTGTCAGGAGAAATCTTTGTTGTAGAGCAAAACTGCCCTGGTCCATATAGGGAAATATCTGCTCCATGTGATATGCCTTAAGCTTCACGACAGTCCATGTTAAAAATTGAATAAATGGATGTAAAAAAAAAAGGTGGGTGTTTTGATCGAATTGAGTAGCACAATACAAGATTTAAAGTATCCATCATACTTTGTGGATAAAAATAGTGGAACATACCTAGTTTTATTTGTAAAAGAATACATTGATATTGAAATTTTATTTTTTTTTGTCGCATCATAAACCAAAACATTAGATTTGGATTTAATAAACCATCACAATATAGCATATACTTGTAAAGTGAAAAAGAAGTGGTTGGCAAAAATATTTACTTGTGTATATGCAATTATTTTAACTTTGCATTTCATCTCAGTAACCTAAGTACAAATACAAAGACCTTAAAAGATCCCTATACTATTCTCTTTTTCAAAAACTGTTGAATAAATGTTTCTGTTTACTGTCATGGATTGGTATATTCTACTATGTGTTTGTCTTTTACAAAATAGTGATAGAGGCCAAATTATATACATCCTCTAAATGTTTTTTTATTTCTTTGAAGCTGGCTTCCTTTAAAAGTTCTCAATGACGTGTTTAAGGTTAGTTACTGGTAAGGCTATCATTTTCCCCAACTAGTGTGATGATGAACAACAATGATCTGTGTGATTTGTAGGTATAAATCAAATGGAGACACACACATAAACAACAACATAAAGAAAGTTATCTTTCAGACAGTGATTAAGGCAAATATTCAAAAGGCAAAAACATGCTGGCCTTATAGCTTTAAGAGGTTGTTTACTTTAAACTAGAAGTTTTTGTTTTATCATGTAATTTCATATTTTGCCAAGGGGACATTTTATTAAAGGCAAACTTGTTATTGTTTTTATGTTGTTATATTGGCTAAATGTTCTTTATTTATTTATCACTATGTCTTGTTTTTTATTCTACTGGAAGTTACAACCACTAGTGCTTGAGACTTTCTACTACAAAGAGAGATAATATTTTGATATGTTAATATCATACCGTAAATCTCTGTTGATTCATTGTGCAATTTGGCATTCTTAGTTAAAAAGAAAAAAACCCCACTAAATTCATTAAAAAGTACTGTGTGACATTACTCTTTATCAGCTTGAAAAAAAAAAAAAATTTTGTGAGTGAGTGATCCTAGTACTGAAGGCCAAGAGTCTTGTGGGTCTTTTGAAAAGAATTTGAAAAAACATAAAACATCTTCATTTGTAAATTGTCAAATAAAAACCCTAGAAAATAAGTATTTCATGATACGAGATCACAAACTACATCAAGTCCATTGTAGACTTAGGAAAAACAGCAAATTTTTTTTTTACGGGTCGGAGCTCCTGTAGTCCTTCCAGCTGTGTTTTTGAGAAGGTATATAACTATTTAACATCTTGATGCCAGTATATGGATATATATCTGTATAGATATATACTGACTTGGGCAATGACTTAAAGGCAATAAAGAGCTTTCTAAAAGTTCCTAGGTCCACACTCGATGTGTAATAACTGGCTTGTTTGTTGCAGATTTCCAACATCAGGCATCAAGGGGTTAAAGTTGGAGTATTTAAGCATAGCATCTCAATCTACTAAAAAAGTCACTGCCGAAATGATGGGGGGTCATGCAACTTATCCCACAACAAACTCCTCCATCTTTTTGTACTATTAAAGTATTTTTAACTTAAGAAATACATTAACATTATCATTACTGTTTATGTTTGGGGTAGTGGTGACATATATTTAGAAATATATATTCAGAATTCTATCTATAATTGAAATAATGTTTCTATCAGAGAAATAAAATGAGATTTCTTTTTACGTTTGTAACAGAAGTAGTTACTGAAATCTCTAAAAGTAGCAAGATGCTTTTGCCTTCATATTGCATCAGATGAAATTATTGAGGATACAGTAGGTAAATGTCGGAATTGTATTACCAAAAACGAATCCTTTTTTTTATTAATTACTATGCCTTTGTAGGTTTTGATAACAGAAAAATAGGTTTTGGTAAACTATTACTTTACTAATTGTGTAAATGTAATTACCCAGTGATAGGAGAATAATTTCAGAGAAAAAAAATATGTTTATTTGTTATCAAATGGATAAAAGAAAATGATGAAACATAACAATTGTAACCCAAAATATGATTTTTAAGAAAAAAATCTCCACTTTTTTAATAGCAATGGCAGAAATGCAAACATAAATGGGTGGAACGTTTCTTCAAAACAAGATGTAAACTAATGACAAAGAAGAAATGACATCCTTTTAAACAGTGAACCCCCCTTTATAGCTTTTATTTGAGCTTCTCTGCCATGAGTCTGATTTAATGCTCTTTCTTTCACTCTATAAAAAAGTACAAACAAAGCAAAACAGAGATCAGTGTACCCCAGGACAAGAATGCCATGGTTGAGAAGAGAGGGCACCTTGTATTTGTTGGACAACTGCAAGTAGTTAAATATTCATGCAACTTTAGAAACATCTCTGTGTAGATTTCTAGGCTAACAATACATTTTTATTCTTCATGAATATCAATATGATTCTCCACAGTCTGGTTAAAGTCTTTCTCCATGTAAATTAACAGATAGATAGATTTTTGTCATGAAATCTGTTGATAAATCATATCTTCAGTCTGTACAATAGAGGTACTAAAAATTACAACTGTCATGGTATATGTACAATTTACTACCTACAAAGTACAACAGATAGCGTGTAATAAAATATGTAAACAAATTTCTCATTTTTTCGGACACAGTTGACTGTGACAGCAGATAGAATTCACACTTTTAACATCTGGTTTATTTCTGTATACACATTTGTTAACAGTGTTGCAGTACTGCATCTGTGTTCTTCCTGACACCTCCATAGAAAAAGAGAATGATAGGCAATGAACCAACACACTTGTGCAGAAAGATAAAACCACCATGGTCTGTGCAGCAAGAAGAGATCTGTTGGAGGGGTTTGAGAGGAGAGGAAGTCCTGATCATAGATGTAGAACTGCCTTTGCGTGATCCAAATTGAACACTCTTTACTGGACTTTTACTGTACTGCACCTTACTGTGGAATCAGGATGGCATGCATTTTACAATCAGGCGCTTCTAACCAAGAGAACTGACAAATTCCTCCCACAAAGAGTGTCACTGTGTCCATCAGACAATGAGAATAATTGTGGTGAATTAGATGCCAGAGCAAACAGATGGTATGAGGTCTGCCCTTTGCAACTGGCTCACTTGGATTCATATTATACACATAAAATAGTTTTCTTTTATTATTGTTCTCTTTAAATCTTTTTTTCTTTTGCTTTAAGCAAAAATATGTAAGACACCACACTTATATTATGTATAAACCATAAAAATCTGTAATATTTTGATTACAAGTGTCCTTTGTGTGCCTGACCCCCTCTCGTTAAGCACTATTCGTTGCTTACATGCTGGAAACATTTACGATAATGAGCCTTTTGTAATTAACAATTTCACAAAAATTGTTTAATGCCAAGGATCACATAGCTCTAAAAGTCACTTAGGAGAATGATGCTGTGAAATATTTGTATACCGGCGACATGTCTCTGACCAGATAGAAGTGTAAGGTTTCTAAAGTTGCTATTTAACCTTGTCATTAAGCATTTTGCTTAATAGTAAGTGTGCTTTATGTTACAGCAAATATCAGTTCAACTATTCAGCACAGTATAGAATTTTTCAAGTTCCATGTTATACCATCATTTGTCAAAGCTCCTCACAGGGAAACTTGTAATAAATGTTCTCTCAGTGCCTTCTTACTCCGTTCTGTCGGGTTGACCAAAGTCTCAGTCACACATAATACTCCTTATCCTTGTTTTTCTGTCTCTTGTTGCTGCCTTTCAGGCTCTGCTGTTTGTCCTTCATGACAGCACCATTGCTCTGCACAGCCGAGTTGGTTATGTAGTGCCGGCTCTCGTCCACCTGGTAGGAGCCTTCATCCCTGTTCCTGTACTTATACATGGCGTACAGGAGGATAAGGATACACAGCGCTGCGGCCGCCACTATTCCGATGACCATCCCAGTGGTGCTGCTAGATTCACGGACCACCTCCGAGGGCCCTGGTACTCTCCTGACGCCTGGCTCTGTGGGGAGTGCTGTGGGTATATTATGGAACATGGCGGAAATCATTAATGGGCCCCTCTGCTTGCTGCTGTCTACCTCAAAGGATGTGGCAATAGAGGCAACACTAGATTGGGGCTGGGGTTTTAGCTCGCGGTTATTTGTTTTGCCGGAGAAGTGTGGAGGGCTGTGGTGGAGGCAGAGGTGGTAGTGGTGCGGCTCTGGTTGGCGGTTACTGGTATGGTGGTAGTCCTACCGCATCTGAAGATGGAAGGTTTGTTTTGTCTAAAAGTCCTGGGCGCATGTGCTTTGTAGTCACCTTGAAAGTGTGAAGTGGGTCTTAACAAGGAGAAGTTCGAGTGAAAATCTTCATCATCATCAGTGGGGGCAGGTAAGACTTCATCGCTTTCCCAGAGCCATACCCCGATATCACCAAGCCATCATCATCACAATCATCGCTGCCTCGGTCCGACAAGCAAGGTACCCCCGCCTCAGTAGCCTTGGACAAGGACTCTTTGGTGGTCTCAATAATGGTTAGGAGTGGGTGGTGGGTTGAGGGAGTGGGAATGGAGGGTGCACGGGGAGCTACAAAGGGGAGCTCTAATGGATCCTCATGTACTAATTCAGCTCCTGGAAGTAGAGAAAGATTCATTTTAGGGGTAAACACTGTTAAATCATACATTACCTTACAAAAGCGACATCCTAGAACATATGAAAAAAGGCTTAAGAGTTGAACTGGGAGCCAGAGGGATTAAATAAGCATTGCTTTCATTTAAGTGTGCTTCCAGTTATAAGCCTTTACTCTTTATATTTACAAACTCTTTTACTTCAGTTGGGTTTAAGGAAGGGGGACTACTTTGTAAGCATTGCCCTGAAACCTTTGCATAGGTTTAACCTCAAAATTAAGATTCTGTCTTCATCAATGTTTTAAAATGCTAGTTTGAGCAACTTTATAGGGAGACACAGGGCTATAATTAATTACTTTTAACCTGTGTTTCTTTCACCACCAAAAATTTACATTAAAAATCAACAGATCATTTTCATGATTTTTTTAATTTGTTCCTTTTTACAATCACGGGGGGAATACACAGTTAAAGATCCAGTAGCTTGTAGAACCAACCCTCTAAGGTTGAGGAGCAACTTTAATCCCTTTATTTTCATTAAAGTTTCTCTGACCCAGTCTAAGTCCGATGGCCTTATGTTGGACTTTTAGGCCATGGTTGACTTTTTCTTTTGCTACAGAATAACCTCAAACCACCAAACCTCCACAAAGCATGTTTGACAATTGTCTCCAAACCTGAAGTTGTGGCCAAATATCTTTCCTTTGGCCTTATCAATCCAAAATAAATGGCTCTCCAAGCATAATTGTTTAGTCAGTAATCTAATATTTTTAGAGTTGATTCTAATCCCTCAAACCTTCAACCAAACCTGTTTAGTCTTCAGTAGTCCTGTCATAAACATAAACATTTAGATTCTAATTAGAGAATCTTGGATTGAGCTCTTGATTTTGATCTTATTTGGCATATCTATGAGCAATGAAGACCTTGGTAATAAACTAGTCTGGAAATGGTCTCATAAACCTTTCGAGATTGATGAACAGGAAGTATTGCTTCTCTAAGGACATTACTGATATATTTGCTTTTGGAAACTACTATCATTAAAAATCTCTAATGCTATAGGTTTTAATTCCATCCACAACAATGTTTGCATTTTTCTTCTTAAAAGACCTTTGAAGCAGTAGGGATGTATTAAATCTTTCCCAAAGGAAAAAAAAGATCAAAAGAACATGATATAGTAAAAGAAAAGAGCATTTTAAACCAGCTATTTTCTAATACTGGTCCTTAAACCATACTGTCTTGCATATTTTAGTTGCTACTCTGTTTCAGCACACCTGGTTTGAATCAGTGGATTCAATTACTAGGCCTTTGCAGGTCTAGATAACAAGCTGCTGGGGGACTTCTAACGCCCACAACCCCGCCACTCCCCCTGTACCTCTTACCCAACACCCCAAGGCTGGGAAAATGTCCAAACAACTGAATGTAATTATTGTAAAACCAATAGCAGTATTGCTACTTTGTGGCTCCCAGGTCATCTCAAACCTCTTGACTTCTTAATGTCACATACATAGTATGCAAGTGCAGAGCTGCATCTTGAAGATGGTAAACCCTTCATTAGTTCTATGAAATAAATCTGATTAAAATTTCAGATTTCTAAGTCAAAAGTAGCAAACAAGTAGTATGGCATTTATTCTTTAGAATAAATATATATTTGGAAAATTCTTTGGCTTTGTGAATAGCGTGTGTTATCAATATTCCAGTAAATTTGTACTGTTAATTTGTGTAATTTGCCCATTTTGTATTAAAACAAAGGCTGGCAGAGCGTCATTGGAAAAGCCTGAAAGTGGGCCCTGTTGTAATAACAAAAATGTCCTCAACATAGAAGTCTCCTTAGATGGCATTAAGAGTTTTCCACATGACATAGAACTTTGTCATGTTTGTGTTAAAGTTTTTTAAATAAAATTTCTGATACCAGAAGCAGCTCTTTCACTAAAACATATTTATTTGGTTTGTTTTTTTCTTAAAGTTTTGAGAGTGGCTCCTAAATGTTCAAACCTTATGAAACAGCACAATAAATTATAAATTTGTTCTTTTATTCAGGCACTGTTGGAAATTTCCATAGGGCTTCTTTTCCTTTATGCACACATGGGTCAAAAAGTTAGAATCCTAATGATGCCTTTCAAAATTCTGCTCATACTTTGGTTAGTTTTATTATTTTTTCTTAGATGGAAAGGCTGTTGGTTTCATTTCTTTTGATTTATTGTTATGAGGGATAACAGAAGAATGAAGGTAATGGGTTGGCAGACGGGAGCTTCTAATGCATTAATGAGGCAGTTGCGTATCTGTCTTTGTAAAAGACCAGCAGAAATAAAAAAATTTGAGCTCAAAAGGTACTTGTCTGTAAATGTTCAAACCCTCACCTATCCTCATTAGATATTGAAAATACCTGAAAGAACAAGATGAAAAATACAAAACTCTAAAAAGAGATTTATCCATAGGGAAGACAGGCTCTCCTTTAGGTATTAGCTAAGGTAAGGGGCTCATTTATTCATGTTTAGCTTCAGGCAGTCATTCAAATCCACAGGACTTGGCCAAGCTGCTTCTAGGCAACTTGGCCCCTACCTTAAACTCACGAGAGGAAGTTTACAGTAACCACCTGCTTTTTTAGGCTTATCTTGCATTTAGACTATGCCAGACTACCAAAGAGCGACTCAAAGTATCACGAAAACAAAAGCATGCCTTTTTAAATTGGTTATCATCATATTTTGATAAGACTGTGTGAATTGTAGTTTCCTGTTTTTTAGTTGATGGGAGGGGCATAGTGAGCTGCTGTTTGAAGGTTCCACATGATGTGGGTTCAGAGATTGTTTTTCACACCATGGTTGTAAAGATTGGTGATGGGAGCAACAGTTGTCTTTTTATCATCTTGACACAGTCTATGTCTGCAGTTCAATTGTGACATTAACAAGGCAGTTGCTTCTCATTTCATGTTTTTGGGACAATGTTTATTAAATCCAAGAGTCACCTCTTTTCCACTAGCAGTTTGTGAAATACTCCACCAACCTGGCTTGCACAAACTGCCCTAACAAACTCAACAAACCTTTTCTTTATAGTCTGATGTTTTATGTAAATTTCAGCAAGTGGTCTTTACATAATTGAGATAGGTGCCCTAATGCCATCTGCCTCTTCTGGTTTCTCTTTTCAGCCTCTAACAGCTAAGATCCACTGTTTTTGTAAGCCAAAACCAATGGGGGTGTCTTATTAAAAATCCAACTGGAAATTCTTGCCAATTACACCTTGTTGTTTTTTTTTTTTCTTTTGTAAATGCCGAGGGTTGCATAACATAAATAAACATCACTTATAATTATCGTGGGCCCCATGCTGTTATCATTGGAGTGAACATTCAATGGGCCACCAACTCATTTATATGAAAAGTATCCACTGTGATTTAGGATGCTCCTTTAGAGTTATTCATGCAAATTAACACCTCAAACAAAACATTTCTTCACACATAGCAACCAAAAACACATCCAATTACAGGCACACAACTCCTAATTTAAACAAAGGCCTTTGTGTCATTTCAAACTCAAATGAGGATTCATTAGCAGTAACATGACCAGACATCCATCAAAGATGCAGTCTGTAAGCTTTCAACAAAAGCTTGACACAACCAGCTTCGTCATTTGATTTTAGTGCGAGACGTTAAAAACCTTTTGAATTATTTCGGTTTACAAACTGCATCTCAAACAAGCACCACAAAGAGAATCAGAACATGCACGTTGTGTCATTAACTTACGTCAACAATTTGCCCGCATGATTTTTAGGCAAGAGGAGAAGAATTTACAAAGGAAAATTGCATAAAAATGTTGGATAGTCACTTGGTATGGTTAAAAATCATTTTTATCCATGTTAGAATGGATTCTATCTTAAAACAATGAAGGTACAGGGAGGCAACAGCACATACATCCACACCACATAACAAAAAATAAACACCATATTTCTGCTTTTTATCCTTTGTTTCTCTTTCCTTGTAAATAATTTATTTTTCAACAAAAAATCTGCATTTTTTTCATATCAAGAGACTTCAGTGAGCCTAAAATCTATCCATCTTACAATTTTTGCTTAATTTGCTCTTTAGTGTAGAATGGATGGATGAATTTATATTTTAATATTTCTAAAGACAAGGGAGGAGGTGAAGAAGGGGTTGGACCTATGAACATACTACAGAGGAGATGAGGATGATGAAGGTGACAGTGTAAGTCAGTTGCCATGTCCATGTAAAGGCAGTACGAAGCGGTTGGGCGGCATTAGAGCTTTCGGCTGTAAGGAAGGGATGGGGATATACAAACAATGAGCAATATACATGCCCATCTACAGAAAAGAACAGAAGAACTCTAACACTGACATGTCTTACAAACCCTAAACTGCAACTTCTTAGCCATGCAATTCCCTTTTTAATTTTCTTACAATCAAGATACACTACCTGACAAAAACAGTGACCTTCCCAGAAGAAGTGGTCGGATTGGGATCTCATTTGTTTCACACACAGAACTTATGATGGGAATGCAAATAATTACATTCACAACCAGTAAGTATGTCAGAGAATGTAAGATAGGGAATCTAAGAGTGAAGTGATTCAGGCAGGTACCCAAGCAATCAAATGTCAGTCAGAACAGGAAGTTAGGGTCAGCAGCCAGAAAGGATGCCCTTCAGACTACTTAGATGGGGTCTCAATGTCAATTTGCATGAAGCCGACGGATGTACGAGGATTAAACTATTTCACATTTATTATGTTGAAACTAATGGGCAAACTAAAAGCTTCCAAAAGCTAAGAAAGCCGAAGTTAAAGTCATTATACCGAACAACAAACAAAAAAAACAAACTTGTTGATATTTGAAACTTTGATTTGCCCACAGACAATAGCAGAACTGCACAAAAACGTATGAAAGACTTTTGTACAGTACTTGTGCAGCCTGGTACAGCAAAAAATTAAACAGATAACAATATACTGTTAAAGGTCAGGTTACGAATTTGAAGTAATTGCATAATAGACTACTATTTGAAGCATTAGTT